AGCACCATGGCTCAAGGGAGGAAAGGAAAGGAAAGGAAAGGAAAGGAAAGGAAAGGAAAGGAAAGGAAAGGAAAGGAAAGGAAAGGAAAGGAGAGGAAAGGAAAGGAAAGGAAAGGAAAGGAAAGGAAAGGAAAGGAAAGGAAAGGAAAGAAAAGAAAAGGAAAGGAAAGGAAAGGAAAGAAGGAAAGGAAAGGAAAGGAAAGGAAAGGAGAAATGTGGATGTAAGGAAAAAACATGAAAGGGGGGGAAGGAAGGAAGGAAGGAAGGAAGGAAGGAAGGAAGGAAGGAAGGAAGGAAGGAAGGAAGGAAGGAAGGAAAAACATGTATTGAAGGAAGGAAACATGAAAGGAGGGAGGGAGACTGGAAGGAAGAAAGGAATAGCAACAGCACTTAGATTTATATACTGCTTTGCAGTGCTTTCCAGTCCTCTCTAAGCGGTTTACAGAGTCAGCCTCTTGCCCCAGCAATCTGGGTCCTCATTTTACCCACCTCGGAAGGATGGAAGGCTAAGTCAACCTTGCTGGTATTCCTCGACCACAATCAGGCCTGAAATTTCTATCACTAAGTGAAGAGAGTTGTTAGGTGTCGCTTTGAAACAAGAAGGGCGGCAAACAAATTTCACAATTTCATAATAAATAAGTGAATTTCCCTCCCCGTTTTATTACCTTTCTGGCCATAATGGTTAAGTGAATCACTGATGGTTCTTAATAACACAGTCGTTAAGTGAATCTGATTTTCCCAATGACTTATCTAGTCAGAAGGTTGCAAAAAGGGGATTGCACAACCACGGGACGCGGCAACGGTCATAAATACGAAACGGTTGCCAAGCATCCTAATTTTGGTGACGAGATCATGGAGATGCTGGAGTGGCACAGTGGCCTAGAGGTGGAGCTCTTGCCTATCGATCAGGAGGCTGTGAGCTCGATCCTGGGTAGAGGCAGATATTTCTGTCTCTGGGCACACTGAGAATATATCTGCTGAAAAAAACCTCTGGATTGGTGACAGGAAGGGCATCCGGCCAGTAAATACTGAGCTCCATTCAGTTGCCCAGACTCCACCCTGCAAGGAACGATGGGGTTGCTAAAAGAGGATGGTGATGATCAAGGAGACGCTACAGAGGTCGTAACTATGAAAAATGGGTCATAAGTCACATTTTCCAGTGCCATTGTAACTTTGAATGGTCAACTAAACAAAGTGCTGTACGCCAAAAACGATCTGTAGGTTCTCTTGGCTAACTTTATTTCATTTCTCACCTGCTTTCTCCTTCCTTCTGAAATATGGTAAGCATCTCTTAATTTTGTTCCAGAAGACAGAAAACTTTTTGTGGGCATGCTCAACAAACAACAGTCAGAAGATGACGTCCGTCGGTTATTTGAAGCGTTCGGGAACATCGAGGAATGCACGATACTTCGAGGACCGGATGGCAACAGCAAAGGTAAAATAGGTCGCCTTAACGGATTAAACCAAGACAGGGGAGATCTTCCAGCTAAGGAGATCTGGAAGGTCAGGTCTTCACGCTCCTTCGGGAGTTCTGGGACAGCCAGGGCTTGAGAAGAGCTCCCACCATCACCTAAAAAAGAAGTTTTGAAACCTTCTCGCATGTTGGGTGGCCTTTGGAAGTGGGCTGTTGTTGGAAGAAGTACCGATCTGGTTCAGATCCAAGGTGAGAGAAAGAGACTGAAAATGTAGAGGCTGGTTGGAAAGATGGTTTAATGATGAAGTAGAAACACATGGAGTTGAGAGTGAGGGGCATTTATACCTTCTCTTGGACTTTGCACTTGAACTTCCTGTTCCTGTGCAAGAACATGTGCCCTATTGGCTGTTGTCAGGCTCCCATGGTGGCATGTACAAATCCTAGGAGTTTGTCTGAGCTAAGCTTGGTTGAAGTTTGGGCTGATGCAGTGAAGGGGTTTGTTGGGCAATTCCTATTGTGGCTTTGTTCAGACCTTGCCTATGAATAGAGCTAGCTATCTCTTTACCTCTTAAGTGCTGACATCTTCTGGGGGGCTATTAAGAAAGGTTGGGGCTGCTTTTCAAGAACATTTTTCTCTGTTTCTCATCCAGGGAAATATAACATTCTTGTCTTTTTAATATTTCTCAAAATATTTTATTCTAGGAGAGGGTGGGTGCTAACTTTCTACATTACCTTTCCCTTCCAAATTCTGGCCACCGTCTTTGGCCTAGTCTCGATGAAACAAGGGTTGTATCAACAATGGGATCCATAGGAAAAGTTGGCTAAGTTTCTCTCTGACAAAAGGACCCCATTCCACTGACTTCTACTGAGAAAAATGGAGACCCTTACCTGGAAGCTTTGGGGATGGAGGGAGGACCAGTGATGACAAATTTCAGGGCACGTCTACTAGAGTGAGACTTCAAAGCCACTTCTGTTGGACTTAAGGGAAGTTCTGAAGAGCCGGATATTTATTGTTGATATGCGTGTGACTGAGAGTGGGTTGTGTGCTTGGGGGGCTTGGGTTATTGTAAATATGTGTGTGTGTGTGTGTGTGCATGTGAGAAAGAGTACGAATGCAGTGTGTGTACATAAGTCCAAAACCATTTTGTGAGTTATATACTTAATCTATTTGGGGCTACGAGATAGATAGATAGATAGATAGATAGATAGATAGATAGATAGATAGATAGATAGATTAGATGATATAGATAGATAGATAGATAGATAGATAGATAGATAGATAGATAGATAGATAGATAGATAGATGATAGAGATATGAGAAATAGATAAGAGATAGAGATATGATAGAGATAGGGATAGATAGAGATGATGATAAAGATATGATAGATACAGTAGATAAAGTAAAGATACATACATATAGATAGATAGATATGATGATAGAGATGGAGATATGATACATAGATAGAGAGATACATAGAGATAGATGATGATAGAGAGATATGATAGATACAGTAGATGATAGAGATAGATAGATAGATAGATAGATAGATAGATAGATAGATAGATAGATAGATAGATAGATAATACCAAGGCCACAATCAAAATAGAACATGAAGCAATGCACAAATTGACAAATCCAATGAGCAATAACAAATACATCCAATAAAAGAGAAGATTTCTAGCTCAGGTTGGACTGTGGGGTCCTTGGTGCTCTCTAAGCTTGATAGTTTTTTTTTTGCAAATGCTCCATGACCAACATTTCACATTAGAAACAAATGGGGGTTTGCAGTTACAGTATTTTTAGTTCAGTTCAGTTTAGTTTAGTTTAGTTTGTTTTAGTTTAGTTTAGTTTAGTTTATTGTCATTGCACTTCGTAAAATGAAATTAAATACCATCTTCAGTGTACATTCTTATACTGTACTAAACAAAAAAAAATATTGTTTTTTTCCTGGGGTTGTTGGGATTTTTGGTTAACTTAAAATGTTTTGGAGAGCTTTAGTTGGTTTATGTGCTACACTGATGCCATATGGTCATAACAGCACAATACACTGATGGGGAAGCTGTATATAAACTGAGAGCAAACCCCACTCCCTTCTAGTAATGATGATATTACCTACTTGGGTTATAAAACGTCTGCAAGAAACAGAACCAAGGATCCTAGAATTATCTTCCTCCTCCTCTTCTTCTTCCTCCTTCTCCTCCTTCTCCTTGTCTTCTTCTTCCTCCTCCTCTTTTTCTTCCTCTCCTTCTCCTTCCCCCTCCTCTTCTCCTTCTTCTTCCTCCTCTTCTTCTTCTACTTCCTCCTCCTCTTCTTCTCCTCCTCCTCATTCTCCTTCCTCCTCCTCTTCTTCTTCTACTTCCTCCTCCTCCTCTTCCTCCTTCTCCTCCTTCTCCTTGTCTTCTTCTTCTTCTTCTTCCTCCTCTTCTTCTCCTCCTCCTTCTCCTTCCTCCTCCTCCTCTTCTTCTTCTACTTCCTCTTCCTCCTTCTCCTCCTCCTCCTCCTCCTCCTCCTCCTCCTCCTCCTCCTCCTCTTCTTCTTCTTCTTCTTCTTCTTCTTCTTCTTCTTCTTCTTCTTCTTCTTCTTCTTCTTCTTCTTCTTCTTCTTCTTCTTCTCCTCCTTCTCCTTCCTCCTCCTCCCCTTCTCCTCATCCTCTTTCCTCCTCCTCCTCTTCTTCTTCTACTTCCTCCTCCTCTTCCTCCTTCTCCTCCTTCTCCTTGTCTTCTTCTTCTTCTTCCTCCTCCTCTTCTTCTCCTCCTCCTTCTCCTTCCTCCTCCTCCTCTTCTTCTTCTACTTCCTCTTCCTCCTTCTCCTCCTTCTCCTCCTCCTCCTCCTCTTCTTCTTCTTCTTCTTCTTCTTCTTCTTCTTCTCCTCCTTCTCCTTCCTCCTCCTCCCCTTCTCCTCATCCTCTTTCCTCCTCTTCCTCTTCTTCTTCTTCCTCCTCCCCCTCCTCCTCCCAAACCCCATTCCCTTCTAGCACTGATAATGTTACCCGGTTGGGTCATAGAACGTCTCCAAGAAAATAACCACTGTCAGAGTACCAAGGGCCCCACAAATGAAACTAAGTGAATCGGGCTTCCCCCCTGACTTTGTTAGTTAAAGGTTTGCAAAAGGGATCATGTGACCCTGGGACACAGCAATGGTCATAAGTATGAACCGGTTGCCAAGTGTCTGAATTTTGATCATATGGGAACACTGCAAAGGTGGTCATGGTGAAAAAAAATGTGCCGTTGTAACTTTGTATGGTCACTAAATGAGCTGTTGTAAGCAGAGAACTACCTGTGGATTTAAAAAAAATAATATTTTAATCATACTGTCATCCAGGGGTGCGATTCCACTGGTGTAACAACCGGTTTGGCAGGGGTGCGCTTTGCACGTGTGCAGCATTTTAAAAACGTGGCTTTTTCAGCTCTAAAACTAACCTTCTGCTGCAGTCGGAGTGAGTAAATTCGCTGAGGCGTTGCAATCTATTGTTCTGCACCAAACAGCTGATCTGAAAACCCTGGAAATAAAGGACAGAATACGGCAGGTGGGCCAAATCATCACTGTAATAACTATCGGGTCACCTGAACTGGCCCGAACTGGGAGAATCCCAGTTCCCTGCTATAATTTTGATCTTTGAGATGCACAGTATAGAAATTTAATAACGTTGAATAAAAAAGTAAATAAATCCATTGGACAATGCTTCCCCGCAACTGTTTATATATGTTCTGTTCTTCTTTTGGCCTAAGCAATGAGTTGTTGTTGCGTGAAAAACATCCCCTCTTGCACCATATGTAGCAGTGGTCGCCATCCAGTGGGCCGGGGACCACTGGTGGTCCGTGAGAAAACGTTGATGGTCCTCAGAGAAATGTCCCCCCCAAAGCAATTAATCCAGGCTGCGCGGAAACACAAGGCTGTGCCGCCCACATGGCTCGTGGGAACACAAGACTTGTGTTGCTTGCATTGGGAACAACACGAGGTAGTGAGGGGAGGGGGAAAAGGGCGGAGGGGGGGAACTCAACCCATGTGCCTCGCCTGGCCACCGGGCTGCTTCTTCCCACTTCTTTCTTCTTCTGGTTTTGGCTGCACACAAGGAAAGCAGCAAAAAATCTTTCTTTCTCTCCTCCAAACTCTGCCAGAAATGAGTCTTTGGGACCCTGCAAGGCCTCCTGCGCAAGAGGCTGTGCCGGCAAAGACTCATTTCTGGCAGAGTTTGGGGGAGAGAAAGAAAGGCTTCTGCTGCTTCTGCTACTTTCCTTGCACGAAGCCAAAAGTCTCTCTCTCTCTCTCTCTCTCCCCTTGAGAATGGAGCTGGAGACGGTATCCTACAATCCCAAATAAAGAACGATTGATCGGTAGGAAAATAGGGCGGGGAATTTTCCTGCAGACTTTTGGGGGGATTTTCACAGGGTCTCTGGTCTGCGGGAATTAAAAAGATGAGTTTGGTGGTCCCTGAGGTCCAAAAGGTTATGTAGGACAACAAGTGGCAGGAACTGGGGTTGGAGTCAAAAAAGACATCAGCCGAGCATCCCTACATAGTCACAAGCAAGCTCAGTCAAACCTCCCTTGAATTCCATGGACCATTATCTAACTCCCTGCAGGTGTCAACCCTTAGTTGAGAAGATTTCTGTGCAGAGGCCTTTAGCAATAAATCCTTTTAACCAGACCTTCACGTGTGGGCCTTGCCTTTCATACCTGGCCCCATGTCAATATGTAAACCACATCAACCAGTGGTGGGATTTAGCCAGTTTGCACCACTTTGGGAGAACCAGTTGTTAAGTTTCTGAGCAGTTTGGTGAACTGGTTGTTGGAAGAAATCATTAGGGCAGAGAACCGGTTGTTAAATTCCTTTGAATCCCACCACTGACATCAACCACAATGTACTCTGGTTCCCCATGACCTCCGTTCTTACCCTACCAAATCCAGAAGAGCACAGTAAAATTTTGACCCTTTTTCACAGTTCTTAGATGCAAATTGGGAAGGGTTGCACATAGTCATATGTTAATGGGGAGAATTCCTCCAGCCAACATTATATCACGCAAAACTGTTTTTGAAACATTCTCGGCATTCAATAAAAATGTGATGCAAAAATAAATGCCTATATTAGGTAAAAGTGAACCTGTAAAAGTCACACAAAGCTCTATGAAAATTTTACAGAGGCAGACATATATATAGACACATATATTATGAAAACTCATGATTGTGGGTAACGTTCGGATGGGTGAAATTGGAAGGTATAGGGCAGCAAACATTAGATAGATAGTAGATAGATAGATAGATAGATAGATAGATAGATAGATAGATAGATAG